AAAATAAAACAAAACAAAATAAAACAAAATAGAGCTTGGTGCAGGGCTCCCCCATTGCAGGATGCTGCATGGAGTCACCCCATGACCCTGCTTGGCGATGGGGAGCAGCGGTTTGGGGGTGCCGCTCATGTGCATCCTCAGTGGGTTGAGCCACTGGGGGGGACCAGGACTCCCCCACCTGGAGATTGGGGTCTTTACTGGGGGGGAGCTCCTTCAGGGCCTCTAACAGCCCTGGGGGGCTCTTGCAGGCTCCGTTTGCTGTAGATTCATCCCCTCCTACTGAATAACTAAATAAATACAGTAAGTCCCAGAGCCTGTTTGTACCTGGTGAGTAATTGGGCAGCGCTTCGTCACCCAGGGTAATTGCTGCCCCCCCACCAGCGACCTCAGCCCTCCCCAGGCTTGTTAAATCCCCGCAACAGTGCCATCGTTAACTGGCTTAGCCCCAACCCCCTCCACTTTGGCAGGGTTCTGGCCCTAATTACAGCAAATTATCCTTCATTCGTTATTAATGAAATGCAAACTCAGAGCAGCAAACAGTCCCCTGGGGTTGAGGATGCCAAGCTCCCACGTCTCCTAGTGCCAGCTCTCAAGGGGGAAGGATGTGTCCCCAAACCACCAATGTCCCCAAAACACTGGAGTCAGGCTGTGCTCTCCTGAGAACCAATGGGCTCCAACACCTCTACATCCCCCCCAAGGGCATTGCTGACCCCCAAAATGCAATATTCTCTCTGCTACCCCCTGCAGGAAACAGGACAGGCTTGGGGCTGGTGTGTAACAAGGACAGCAATGACCCCAAATGCCAGAGTTGGGTTAATTCACCCTCATTCACTCCTTCACCCCATCACTGCCGTTTCCCCACCACCGCAGGCTGCCGAACCCATCTACAGACACAGCAGCTGGGACACAAGGTTTCAGGCACCAAAAAATGATCGAAAAAATCACATCAATCACCAAAAAATTATGTTGGACACGTCTCCGACCCACGAAGCGCTCGTCAAGCAAGCCGCTCGCTTTCCCGTTGACAGAGTACAGAGAGTAACCGGCTACACAGCAAATGGTATTTAATATTTAAAGCAGAATTAAACCAGGCTTCAGGAACACACATGTGGTGCTTGGCAAAAGATGCTCCTGCAAACGATTAAATACATTCGCAGAGCATAGACAAGAAAAATAGCAGTTATCTACAGCTCTGCCCAAGTTGCAGTGCAGAGACCTGCGAGATGGACTCCAGCACTGGAGGAGGGACAGGAAAATTTGGGGCTGAGGGAAGAGCCTTGTTGCGAGCAGCAGCAGTACCGACAGCTCCTCTGCAGTAGGTAATCCGGGAAAAGACGTAAATCTCTTTTTTCAATACATAGAATCAATGCGGTGGTAAAATTATTAAAGTAGGCAACACGGTATTGACTTAAGAGATTTACGGTGGTGTCACAATGATCCCAAATCTCTTTATCAAGCAGCAAAGTTTGCAAAACATTTCTGTGCAAAAAAGAATAAGGGGAATATTAGAAGCCAGACACTGAAGCTGTGGTTAAGGCTGGCTCCTTCCCGTGTGTGAGAGCTCCAGGTCCCAAATCCATCCTTCAGCATCTCCAAAACTGCATTGGGATGCTCCCAGCAGGGGGTTGGACTGGCATTTCCAGGGTCCTGCCCCACCACTGCTGGGCTCCATCTCAACCCCAGCCCCATCTTGGAGAGCCCTGTGCAAGACCTTCACCCCTCAAAACTCTGCCCTTTCCACTAGGGCCGTTCACATCATCATCATCATTATTTATAGTTCTAAATATAAGCAGGCTGGAGAGGCTGAGCCCTGAGAGGGTGCACCCATCCCAGGTGCTCTCCCTCTACCAATTTCACTCATTATTTTAGAGAGATTTATAAGCACCACCAAAATCTCTCCACACACGAACGCCTCTACAGCAGCAGCTACCAGCTACCAGTCCAGGCCTGTGCTACTATAACTCAGTGCTGCAAAATATTTACAGCCCACTGTAAATCTGCTCGCTCACGAGAAGTATTTAAAAATAATTTAAAATCCTCCTCCTGCTACGTGCAGGCTGAGCGCTGCCTTGCTACCCAAACTATCTGCACCTCCCAGGAGATTGCTACTTGTAATTACCTTAAAAGAAAAAAAATCTCCAGAAAATTAATTATCCCAAGAGCTACCAGAAAATAATTAAGTTATACTTCCCTCTGAGACACAGCGCATGAAATCTCTCCACTGGCTCTAATGCAGAGCGTTTGAGGTTTGGGGACAAGGGGTGACCCCAAGGAAGAGGGAAATGGGCTCTGAGGTAGGACAAGGGTCTGGATCGGCCTCCACCTCTCCCGCCACCAGAGCTATGGGATGGTTCATTTTAGCAGTGATTGAGTGATTTCTGCTGCTTCTTCAATCTCCCTCTTGGGTCCTGGGGCTCTGACCTCCTCCTCATGGGGAGGAGCAGTCCCCAGTCCCGTATCATGCAGTGATTTTGCCGAAAACCAAGGTGGATTTAGTGCAGTCACCTTGAATCCCTTGGTACCCACCAACCTCAGACCAGGCTATGGTGGATGCAGCAGAACTCATGGTGGTTAATCCTCCTCCTCCATGCCTTACAGCTCATTTGGCTTCGCTGATTGCCTTCTCTGGAGAAAAGCTGCTAATGAGCGGTGAGGAAGACAGCGGCTGAAGGAAAGGTTAAGCCAGCCAACAGGATACTGCTACCCTACCACGGCTGTTACTGCAGCCTTCCTGGCCACACCAATTACTTTCAAACTCTTAATTCAGATCTCGTTTTCCCCAAGACCCATTAAAAAATGTGAAAAGCACAAAGTTTTGCACATGCTTCAGAGCAGCATCCTGAAAGACGTGGATGTGTAGAGTGCATGTACATATCCAGGCTGTTGCAGGCTTCCATCCGATCGGCAACTGCCTGCATCCAGCTATGGAAGAAGCAGGGCAGGAGACCAGCAGTCTTCATTTTTGGAGGCCTCTGACTCAATTTCTGCTCGGTCTTGGCAATGAGACATTCCCCATCTCTAATGAGGTTCAAGAAGCACCTCAAAGACATTAGTTGTCTTTGACAAATACAGCAATTCCCTATTTCATAGCTGATTTCTGCATTGTGGAACTCATTGTGTCCAGATCTTCAGTTTGAGTACTGGTACTTAAGATATTTGAGTGAAAAGCTGAAATTATTTCACTGGCAAAAGCACCAGCGAGAAACCTGTGTGAGGAGGGAGGCAGCAGGGACCACGTCCCACCCGCAACCTGCGCCGAGAGCAGTGAAATACCCAGCGAGGCAGCCAGACACCAGCTCTGGGCATCATCCGAGGGGCCAGGGTGGACCTTGCTGCTGAAATGGCCACACTCACCGCTTCTCACGCTGAGAAAGCTGCTGGAGTTCAATGTCTTACCCAGGAGCTGTGAGATAATTCCATTTCCATTCAAAGGAACTGATCCGGGCACTCACAAGAGGAGGAAGAACTGGCAATTACTCTCTTTAATCATCATGTCAAGGAAGTGCTGTCCTGCATCACCCTGTTGCAGCAGAGCACGGCAGCAGATCAGGCCTTTGATTTCCTATTCCATGATCAGCATTTCCCCCCTGCTGCAACCTCACCTTCCATTAAGAGGCAGGCGACAAATCGACCCACACCACTGCTCCAAAGCGAGTCTCCAGCTCATGTGAGTTCATGTCAGCATGCCAGCAGCTCATTCTACAACATCTTCCCGTTCCTGCCTGGGACCCCCAGCCCAGGCCCCCGTTCCCCCAAAACGCAGGTCCAGCTGGTGCAGACCTCCATGCTGGCCAAGGACTTTACGCCATAGGGCGGTGTGTGAGCTGCACCCTCCTTTCTCACCTCATATAATAAATATCTGAGCTCCAAGAGGTGATGTTCCACCTGTTATCAAATTTTATTTACTCATTTGTTGCTATTCTGTCCATCCCTGCTCCTGACCACTCTTCCAGTGCTCTGCCTGCTTCCCCCCAACCAGTTACAGCCCGTGCCCTCCGCACCACTGGATTAACCCGACAGAGAAATGCAGTTGTGCGCTCTTTAGTGGTACCAGCCGACACAATGAACAGCAGAAACAACCATGTTCCCTCTGCAAAGCTGTGGATATATAAATGTTATCAATGGCAGCAAACTCCACCACTGCAGCCAGCCTCGAGAGTCTGCCTGATGATGCCAACTCCTCCATCCCGACAGCCACGTGCACAGTCCCGATTGTATTTGGTTTGGTAAAGTGCAAGACACTGCAGCAACAGAAGGCTTATTGGTGCGACTCTGTACAAGAGATGTACGGTAGCTAAGACCAACGTGCCTTAAAGGCACCTCTAGGATCTTTCAGGAGATGCTGAGGCCACCAGAGATGACAGCAGATGGGAACCAGACCTGTCACATCTCGCTCTCCGATCCCCACCTCTGTCTATCACTGGGAAACACGCAGGACCCGAACCAGCCTCCTTCAGCCACAATTAAAAAAGGAACCAAGAGCAGCTGCGAGTGTCTGAGACCATTCACGTTGAGATCTACCGTACACCCTTACAGTGCGATACGACACAGCAAAGCGTAAGGCAGATATGTCAGACTCGTCCGGTTCGTTACAGGGGTTGGCATAATGAGGGCACACCGAATTGCCTGTTCTTCCGAAAAGGAACCAGTCTCTCGCCTCTTCCCCCACAGTTCAGACTGGCGCAAGTTCAGAGATGGCGCTGCTTCGAGAGGGGCACAGGAAGCTCTTGGTGGCGACTCTCAGAGAACCTGCTCGGTGCTGGACGAGGAAATGTCCAATAGCCTCCACGCGGCATAGGGGTTGAGCTCATCCTGGTCCCTGCAGAGCGCCCACACGTACAGCATCCGCAGAACCTTGTCCTGGAAGGAAAATCATGTTGTTAGAGCGTGCATGATGGGCACAGACCCGCTAGCTCAGAGCTGATGGGCTCCACGCTTCCTCCAGAGATGGTTTTTAGGATTGTGCTCCCTGGTCCTAAGCCTGAAGACCCTGAATAAGGACAGCTCCAGTCACATCTACTGACTGCAGTCAGAAATTTATCACAGCCAGGTACAGATAAACATCTGACTCCCAAAAAAACAGAATTAGGGTTTCCAAACATCTCTGGCTGCCAAGTTTCATAATGTGCAACCTTACTTTTAAATGTAAATGTCTGGTTTGAAATTGGTTTGGCCGCCAGGCTGTGCTGCTCTCTGTAACCTTCAATCAAGTTGAGGCTGTAACTCTGCCTTTCCCACATCAGCCTGAGCTACATCCCCTCCTCACAGCTACAGCACTGACTCACACTTCCATTTGAGCAGCTCAAATTAAACAGGAATTACCATCACCAGGTCTGAGGAGAGACAGAGAATAAAACCCCAACATTCATCAATGAATATCAGATGACACAGAGTCCAGCCACAGCCTCACACTAATTCTGTAACCACATCTTTGCTGTGCAAACAGTGCTTGCACCATACGGGGTTACAGACTGAAACAGAACTGTAAGCTTTGCCGTCCCTGATGCACGTAATGAGATCGCCAGCAGTTCTGTTCATCGTTAAGTGAATAAGGAGGAAAGCCGTTACCTCAGCACATCCTGAGGCCATCACTCACGGTCTTATGAAAGCAACTCCCCGAGGAGTCACTGCAGGTACCTGTGACAAAGCCTCTGCCTCTCCCAGGAGAGAGCTGGCACTGCCCACCAGACTGGGCTGCCAGGAGCCCAAATCTGGCACCGTGTCACCGATCTGTTCTCCAAATCAAAGGTTATTTGATTTTATCATTTAACCATTAACCACAGAGAATACTTCCCTCAGATAAGGAGGTATCACTGAGGGATCAGGCTGCGCATTGGCGCAGCTCCCAGATGTGTACTTAACTACTGCTTCTTTGATTGAACGTGTGAATCTTTATAGGTTATCATTTAGGTACACAAATGTGAGGGGAGAGACTCTCTGTACCAGACCAGTCATTAGAAAACGAATCCTTTAGAAACATCACATATCGTAAAGCCATTTTTTTCTCCTTGCTCAGTGTTTCAGAAGATTTACTTGCTTCAGCTCTGCTCAGAATTGTTAAAAGTGATTGAGAACTTGAGTCATTCAGATGTTTGGGATATGTCAGAGGGGACAAGAGACCAAAACCAACAAAACTCCTGCCTGCTGAAGACAGGCTGTATGTACACCGATGAGCCACAGCAACACTAACAGATCTTTCCTGAGTATAAAACACTTAAGCATAAGCTCAGGATGAAGTGGGTAACCTAACTGATTTAACATTGCCACTGGAACCTTAATTTCGTAAGACTGTGTATGAAAGGCGACTTAATCACACACTTCAGCATCAGAGCTCTGCTACATCTGGAAAAGTTCACGTTCCTAACACAGGATTTCTGAAGGGGTGAACTGCAGATAAGCTTAGAGTTGCTGGTGACCTCGCAGCATGCAGCACTGAACAAGTAGCAGAGCTTTCTTCCTGGAAACGAGACGTGAGGAAACATAAAAATTACGTGTTTCCAAAGTGGAGAGACTGCTGGATGTCTGATCTGGTGCTTTTATTAATCGGGTACATCTTAATCCTCACCGTACAGCGCATGCTGCTGCATATATTCACAGAAAGTGGGGCCGAAACCACATGCGGACTCCCAAAGGCAGATTTCTATCATGGCCACGCATGCAAGGCAAAAATTTGTCCTTTAATTCCACAGTCTGCTATGACAAACAGCGTCCTCCCTCGCAGTCCTTCAGGACCTCATTTGAAAAAGATCCCCTTGACTTCGCAGCACTGCTCGATGGGTTGTTTAAGGCTTTGTTTTCCCCGACTGAGATGTGGGGCTCCATGGGGAATCTCCTGCAGTAACCACCACCACGTCTGGCTCAGCCCCATCGCAGGCTGCCTGCTCCCCACTTCTCACGGGGGGAAGCCTGCAGCACAGCGGGGGGAACCTGAACAACTGCAAACAGGTAAAATACCGCAGCAATTACAAGCATATGATTTTTATCTGGAGAGTTTACAATTTGAGGCTCCTTTTCCCTAGAACGTCATTTGTTCGGTACTTGGCGGGAGCGGCTCAGCAGTTAACACCAGTTACCAGTCAGCCTGCATCTGACACTTGATTAAAGCTGAAGTTTTGTTTCCAATGGAGAATTTTAATGCATCTCCCTGATTTATTGCTGCTCCAGAGAAATCAGACAGGAAAACGGACTTTGATATCCTGTTCAATAATTATCACATCAATATCTATCTTCTAGGAATGCAGTAATTTAATGCAAGAAATCACTATATCAGCTGTTCCTCCCCTGCAGTCGATGTGACAGGTTATAAATCAGTCCAGATGGGCCCCATCATTAAAATTAGTCCCTTTTTTTTGTAAACTTACAGCCTGAACTAGAGAATGGTTGCAAAAAGCCAATAAGTATTAAATGCACATATTAATTTTAATGGAAGCCGGCTAGAAACTGTCAGCTCCAGGCATCTCACAATGTCCCCCATTATATATCATTAAGCTCCTTAAGCACTGCTCAGACACAACGCAAGCCAGAGCTGTCTGGATAGCAAACCACTCAAAAACAAAGGTATTCCAGAAAAGGCACGAGCTCCTCAAGCCTGCTGTGATCATTAACTCTGGCAACGAGCATATTCTGTGGTCACATCTGACAGGCTCAGTTTAGCATCACTCACAGCAGGCTGGGCTCGTGGCGTTAAAAGCAAAACCACAGCGAAGCACAACCCACCGAGACGCCAGAGATTTGCTGCACAAATTGCCCTGTGCCAGAGGTTCCCATGAGAAGCCTGTACCATGTACAGCATTTAATACAGCTCAATATAGGAGAGTTTTGTGGAAATAAAGGCTTGCAGCACTGTAAGATATTTTCTACCAGTGTAGTAAAGCAGTAGCCAAAAACATGAACTTCTCCTTCCAGCTGTTAACAGTGATTTTCCCCATCTCTTGTAAACGACTCAAGTAACTCCAGCTCCTGGCCCATTTGCCAAAGATCTTTGTGCTCTGTTCTTACAGTGCCCTTTATGAAAGGAAAAGGGAGGGAAAAAGAACAAGATCAGGTGGAAATGGTGTGAAAGAGCTTTAATCTACAGCAGAACAGCTCAGTTCTGTCCCCGGGGGTGCCAAGGAGCGGAGCTCCCAGGTGATGCACCCAGATGGATCTGTAACAGCAGAGATGGATGGCAGGGGACCCAGGGAAATGGTATAAAGTCAATGAGCATCACTTACCGGATCACCTTCCACCACCTCCCCTTTCTGGTTCTTAATTACCATCACAACCTGAGCCTGAAAAGTGATGATTAACACTGGTCCCTGCTCCATCATCTTCCCCATAGCCAGCTGCAATGAAAGAAAATTCCATTAGAAAACAAACAATTTCTGCACATGAATGGAAAAATATCAAGAATTTAACACAACTGCTACTGCCTGACACTGCTAACAATCCCATCTCCTCCCAGAGCTTAATCTGGTTATTTTAATCAGTTTATAGCTGCTCTGTTAACACAGATGCTGTAGATGTTATTGCAAAGCATTTTTCCCAAAACCACTCTCCCAGTACTTAAAAGCTTTCCCAAAATTGTTCTGAAATTTTTCATCGGTTTTTCCAAGTCTAAAAATCTGGGAAATGTGGAAGAAGCTCTGTTCTGTAATTTCCAAACTAGAAGCCAAAAATAAAAGAAAGTCTACTCTTAAAAAAAAGATAATTAAAAAATGGCATTTTCTGCAGAACGTACATCAACTGATGTTTTTTCTCTTGCTTTTAAACAAATTTTCAACACGCAGTTGTACTGGACTAGATAAAAAGAACGAAGTAACAGAAAGACTTCAAGGTGAGAACCTTTTGTTTGACAGGATTTTTCTCCCTCTATTCTAAGGTCACTCCATTAAATATTTAAAGAACTTATTAACTAACATGCAAAGAGGAATGGAGAATTGAGTTTCCTCTCCTAAAGCTGTGATCTTAAAAATACAGCCCTCTTGCTGCCTCTTTTGTGGGAATGCAGTATGCTGCAGGGTATCTTGCTCTGGAGTAACTTTAGGGTTACTGGCTATGTTACCCAAAAAGGTAATGATATTACCTCAAACCTAAGGTAGAATGATTATATTCTTTTGAACATGAGAGACACTGTTACAAAACCACTGCATTTTATCACCTAATAAAGAATACATCACAAGAGACCGTTACAAAACCATGCCATAATTCACAAAGCCGCATAGGTAGATATATATATTTGTATTTATTTTACTCTCCCCTGAGGAGAGCTCAGCACTGCTGCAATGCTCCTTTGCTTAACCTGAGGGAAACAGTTCCTGAGCTCTGCAATAACTCACACCATCCCCGTCCAGGCTGCATTTTTGGAACTGGCCCCACTCATTCAGCAATGCACAATGTCTTAGCCCCAGGTAGCAAAACCCAGATCTCACAGCTCTTTGTCAGACCAATTTCCATGACATTTTCTATGACACCACTTGGCATCGATAATTTGACAACATAAATCTGCATGTGGGTTACCAGGTCGACCATACCACTGACCAGGCTGTGTCCTTTATAGGTACCAAGACTTCCATATTGGTATTCTTTTATTTTTCAGTACTATGATCCCAAAACCCGTCTATAATCAAGACAGTATTTATATCACTTCTCCCTCTTTAAATTCACAAACCCCGTTTCACAAGACACATACTTAAAAATAAATAGCCCTAAGAAATATAAAGGATCCAAAATTCCATTAAATTTAAAGGCAGTAGTTGTTTAGTGAAGTAGAGAGTGCTTAAGCAAGCACCTGGAACACGAGTTCAGATGCTTATGTTTGAAAAACTTGATTTTAATTTTAATGCTGCCAACTTTGCAGCATGTGAACTCCCTTAAATCTTCTAAATGTCTTTTCTCCCAGACTGTTTTTCTGGATGAGATCACTTAACATACTTCTATAAATCTCCTCTAGGGAAATGCATTTAAAGATTTAAACACACCCTTTATCCCCCTTTCCCAATATTGTTCACAATACAGACAGCGTAACAAGAACAGCACTTGTTTATGTTCCATATCAATCGTTTTCCAGCTAAGATGTAATTTTCTTGAGAAATTTCATGCAAAAATACGGGCATCTAAAACAAATTAATAATTAAAGGTCTTTCCAGCCACCACTCAGAATCCATGCCCAGCTCTATTCTAACCAGCACCTACAGAAGAAAAAGGTTATTTAGCATACAATGAAATCAAGTCTCCTAACAATACAGAAAAACCTTCGATTTAAATAAGATGCTTAGAAAAAAGCAACCATGTTTATTACTTCTGTAGCTTTAATTTTGTTAGACCACATTATTTATTGCTAATAATCAAGATAACTGCAGATGTCACAGAAATGTTCCTGCTTCGTTTGGCACGTGCTCGCAGTTAATATCGAGTTACTGAAGAGGTAGGAACAGTTTCCTCTGAACCCAGATGGATGAGAGAAAATGAGAAGCCTATCAAGACCAAAAGATAAAACAGTCCTAGGAAGAGGAGCAGACATCAGCCTTTTGTGTTAGATGTCCTGTAGATGATCTCCTTGCTCCCCGTAAAGATACGCGATCATTAATCAAGTCAGTTCCCGCTGTTCTTTTGAAGGGCTACACAGATCAAACAAAGCCTCCTGCTGCAGGGAACTTACACATTTCTGGAGCTCTCCTGCACCCACTCCAGGTTTTTAATGACGTGGGCACAGAAAGAGACCCCTGCAGAGCTACAGAGAGAGAAAAGGCACCATCAGCAGTGCGCCTTTCAGCAAACCACCAACAGCAGCAGGTTTTGTTCTCCATTTTCTCTGATGGCTGCTGAATTCTTCGTGACTTCTTGTCTTGCAGGGGTGTCGCTGTAAGCAAGCGACATCTCGGCAGCCAATACACCCAACATCACCTGGAACATCCCACTTTCTGAACAGTATCTTTTTATCACCATGCTCTCTCTGAAAGGTTCCAATCCATTTCCTTACCCTGGACCAACTCATCTCTAGGTTTAACCCTATCAAACAGCTCTGTGTTCTCTGTTCCTATGGGAATGACCCTGCAGGTGTCTTTACAGTAACTGAATGGATCCAGCACAAAATTTTATTGAGGACACTACTGTACAGCTGCAGTAAAATGGACAAGTACACCATAGTACCTGGTTCCAACAGAAACACGTACTGAGTGTTGCGGCCTTTGAGTTAGCACCTTTGATGACTTCAGACTATTTTCTACATTTCCTTCCAGGCAGAGCTGGTTATGGGATATGAAAGGTCTGACTAAAGGAGGTAATTTCTCTGATACACCTTTGCAATTGAAGGAAAGAAAGATCCAAAAGAAAACTGGGAGGCCAGTGACAGATCACACTAAAGACTTCATTAAATGGAAGCACCACTGTAGACTTACTGCTCATTAGAACAGTAACACCTCTGGCTCCTCAATAAAGGGGAACAGGGCGAGTGTTATGACTGTGCAGACGATTGGCCTGAGTCCCCAGCTACCAACACTGCTCCACAGGAGGCAACAGCTCCACTTGCAGCCATCACCTCCCCACTCAAGAGCCACCCAGAACAGCAGTTAAATCTGTAACAGCCACTCCTGCAAGGCACAACTTGGAGTCACACAAGTTCTGTGCATTATGATCCAGAGCAAGCACCAACAAGGCCCTTGATGAAAACACCGGGTCGGTGCTATTTGCCTTTACTATTAGCCTTTCTCAATCTATATGCTCATGATTAAGACCAAGGTCCCCTGACAAGAGAGAAGACAAACCACAATGCTGGAACTTAGGCTCGATGATACAGGAGTGAATCTGCTCCATGAGCCTTCCCTTCCAGCAGCAATGGTCTATTCCTGTTAGCAGAAATGGCAAACACTACAGCAGCATGAGGCAAAAATAACCAGCAGCCAGAGCAAAGAAAAAAACCCCTCCTCAAGTTGTGAGTTTCTCATTCATCCCCCAAGGTGAAATACAGAAAAGGACACTCACATCAATGTTGTCAATGTCAAGAATCCTGGAGTGGAACTGAAGACCCATGGCTTTGGCTTGCTGGATTGGATGAGCAAGCTGACTGTAAGTCTAAATGAAGCAACAAACTTGTGTTACACGTTTGAATTTGTTCTGTCACAAAGAAAAAGGGATTTTCTGCTTAGACAGAATCACACAAAAAGAATAAAAGTCATTTTTTTACAAATTCACTGAACATACATGTCTTGCAAGGCATCATACATCTACATCAAATGATCTGGGCTTCACATAACCAAATTCTCCCTAAAAAACCCACCTCCCCTGGCCAGAACAGATCCATCATTCACAACAGAGTAACTACACTGAGTGCACCTGATAGCCAAGGCACTTGCAATTTTCATTTGACAGCAGACAAGGAAAAAATCAGTCTGGGAACCAAGCTATTTTTCTAATCCCCAGCCAGACCTTGGAGGCAGACCAGTGTTTCCTGGCTCCTCTTAGGCACATGCACATATGCTTCATTATTTATGCATCGAGAACTGTTGTTAGGGGTAGTGAATTCCTGCTTGCTCCCAGCATTATCACAGTATTCTTGGCAGGTAGCAAACAAACAGGAGGTAGTCCCTACCTGCCTCCCCACCACGGATCTCCTAACCTTCCTCACAAGCATTCAAATGCAAATATCCTAGAGAATTATACTGGCAAAGTCACTGGCATGAAGTTGGAGTTACAGATGAGGGATTCTGAGGACAGGAGGCAGAGACAGCTTTATGAGCCACAAACCGTATCTAAGCCAGTGGGCTGACAGCAACCCGCAGTTCAATTGGTATTCCTGCCACTTAAATAAGTTTTTGCCTTATTTGTTTGTATTCTAACATTTTAGTGACCAGTATCACAAATTTAACACTTGCAGTACGATTCTGTTCAAAAACCTTTATCTCCTAAGACTCATTAATAGGACTCTCATATCCTCCCCTGGCTTATTTTACAGATGATTCTTGATTTATGAGCTTAATTTATAATTACAACTGGCTTAGAAGGGCTTGCTTTTTGTCTTATGAACTGCAGTGAATATGGTACTTCCCTCTAGAGATTGGAGAGGAATTCTGTGGTGTCATTTCAAATGTTGCTTGAACCATTAGGGAACTTTCTTTGCTTTCAGACTGCTTTAAATATCTTACTCCTACATACTGCAATATTGTTACAAAGATGTTAATCACAAAAAATTAAATACAAAAAATTGCCTCTTCCAGCGTGTGCATTTCCAGCCCTCTGGTGGTGGTGATCAGTAAGGACAACATTCATTTTCAGCAATTAAATTATTTAGAAACTGGACAACTATGGCTCTGCGTTGCCGACAACACAATTATTTTGGAGCACAGCGAAGTCCAGAACAAGTGTCCATCTATGTTGTCAGGAAAGGATCTGTTTTCATGAAGTTAAGTGAACAATTATACAATCACTAAATTGCAACCAATTCATATTCACTGCTTCAAGAAGCAGATCCAATACTGGAAATCTATCCCAGTACATAAACAAAACCAGTTTATGTACAACAACAACAACAATAAATCCATTTTCTGCAGTGAGATTATCCAGGCTGCAGATTATCTGTGCTGCAGTTTCAGAAAAACTTCGACCTGCCAGGATTATTTACTGGGATATGGCAGTGGAGCTGCGTCTGTACAGTAGCTCCAGGGACAAACTTGATTCTGTGAGCTGAAAAGCATCACCTTTCTGGGTCAGCTCAAATGTCTCTGCACCTTTGTATCCATATCTGGATACAGGCTCTACTAAAGCCCACTCAAATCAAGAAGGGCAGTGCAGAACTTGAGTTAACTAATTTGAGTTTAGCTCTCTATTCCCTGTCTTAAAGAGCTCTCCTCTCATATCCAGACTATTCCAGAAGACCAGCACTTACGCTTGACTGCATTAGTGTTTCATAGCATGAACATGTTACGTGGGGAAGCAGCTGGACAAAGCAGGTAAGAAATATCATAAACACAACGGCTGGGCAGCTTGCAAGCTAAGGAAGCACAATACTCCTACTTACAAGGGAGAATCGGAACCTTTTCAGGCATTTTTAGTAGCTCTACTTACCGCCTCATAGCACCAATCTTTGAGGATATCAAGCTCTCCAGATATCATAGCCTGAAAGAGAAAATCAAATAAAATACGAACATTTTAAAATACCTCCTGTATCAGAGAGATGAAATTATTGCACCTTCAGTAGCAAACTATTTTAAATCCTGCATCTTACGAAACCCCTGAAGAAAGGCAGGAGCTTCAACAGAGAAACAGCAATAAAAACTTCTATAAACACTCACGTACTGAGTCAGACGTACATAAACCTTTCAATAATTAAGACAGAAGCCATCTTAAAACTTCCCGTCCAAAAAGTCAGGAGAATGCACACTTCCCAGAAATCCTGGGAGGTGGCATCTAACAGAAGCAGGAGCACAAACCACAGCTAGATTTACAGTTTTCAAGACTGAAAAATTCAAGGCATCAAATGAACAGAAGAATCATGCTGCAACTCACGGAAAGGTTTATTTTTAAACCACTGTGTAACAAACACCTGGAATTCATAACAAGACAGATGCTGGGGATTTAGTAGATTTCAAAATAAAGGTAGTGATATGTAGCAGAGCATTTTTCAATATAATGCCTATAAATCTACTTACTTGATGGCATCTGTAAGCTGGCTGCCTACAGTTTGGAAAAAAATCTCTCCCGTGAAAAATTTATTCTCCAAGAGTAAAGAGCCCATTTTTTGCAGCTTTCTTTAGTGACACAGCACTGTTAGGACAAGCTGATTCACCGTGACAGGTCTGTCTTATTTCACCGTCGACATTACAGTTCCAGTCACACATCTGATACACAAGTCAGTCACTACAAAGACAGCAGTAACAAACCCTAACTACGCATCAGTTTGGGTGTTTGTACCTGTAAGCATCGGTATTTTTTTAATTCATCCTGTAATGCTCCCTTCATGACTAGGAGTATCATAAATATTTCTGCGTGTGTACTAGCACACATCAATTTGCAATACAATCACTCATGGCACTGTATTTCTGATGAGAAAATAACACTTTGCTCTCTCAGCATCTGTTCGTCTGTTCAAGCCTCAGTTTTTCCAGTCTCAAAACAATTTCTGCTGTACTTCTTCAAATCCCCCACTTTCACTCTGTCTTTTCTGCACAGTTACAGTGAGAGGAACTGCATCCATTTATACTTGAAGTCGCATCCTTCATCAGTGCCATCATCCGAGTGGTTTTATACTTTAGTCTTTAAAAACATTAAGTTCCACATACTCCCCTGACTAATGCCAGAAATATTTTCCCTGAACCATTTGTCATGACCTGGTTTTCTTCCCAAGCAGTCACAGATCATTTCAAATCCAGCACCAAATTCTTTCCCTTATCAATATTTGATACCGCCATTTGCCCAGTACTGTTCGTTCACCTACTGCAGTCTGATCCCTCTAATGCCTGTATCATTTCTTGTGGGAGATGATGGTTAGTTGTTTTCCAGGCCAGAAAAAAAATTCCTGGTCTACTAAATGACAAAATACAGTTTTCAACTAAATTGTTATGTGGGATCCTTTTCACAAGATTATTTCATGTTCTGTGCAAAGCTGGATGCCTGAGAAGCAAATACTGTCCCAACTTTTAATCTCAGCATCAGAAAAATAAGTCTTCCAAGTTATAGTAAAGGAAAAAACCAAAACTAACACATCATATTCTACTTCCATCTTACCTCCAAGACATTGGGGATTATATCATATTCACATTGCTTTAAAAATCGGTCCTTGTCAAAGGATGGATCCACTTTGAGTATCTCTGTCAAAACTTCAGACATTTCTGTCTTCGAGAACAATCCACCTAATAAAACAATTCAGTGAAACCAGTAGCATCACAACTGTGGCCAGAAAACAAGAGGAAGACCTTTGGTGCTATACCAGAGGGAGGAAGAGCCACCCGGAAACAACTGCAGGCTTTAGGTTAGGCTTGAGATTTCTCTCATACAAGCACATGTCACCGCAACCGCACTTGTGATCCAGTAGCAGGTTGCTACACTGCGTGATACTGGATAATGATCCATGCAAAATATTCTAAAGCTCCAGAATCTGTCTCAAAGGTTAGTACCACATGGAGGACAACAGCACGAACAGTTGCTGGGAACAGAGCTAAACGGCTGGAGATGCACTTTCACAGCAATGATGAAACATTACCTATTAAGTCCGTGACTTTGTCTGTGACAGCTCTGGAAGCGCGAATGAATGCATTATCACTTTCATCATACTTCATTTTCATTTCAAAGAACCCTGAAAGGAGAGGAGATGTGAGCAGCAGTGTCCTTCCACTACATTCCTCAATTAGGAAGCAACACGCAATGGGTCACACATCAAACCTGACAGTTCTCTTCTACATCTCTTTGTTGCTTAGTAAGTCTCAATTTCAACAGTTACTTTTCTCATCTTCCTGCAATGTTCTTAACTATCAATAACTATCGCTAGGAGAATGATGGTTTCTCTGACATCAGCTGCCAGAAACTCTGGATGTTCTATGCAGATTTTCAGATAGAAAATACACCAGACTGGCTTACACCAGCAAGTCTGCTTGTATCCCTTGATTCAGTCTGCTACGAGGGGTAGCAGCATGTGAAACCAACAACAGAAAGTTTAACTGAGGAAGGAAAAATCAAGAATAGACCTTAAACCTTCCCAATTTTTAATAAAATAGCAAGAAACCAGCAAGGATGCAGATTTTAAGCAGCTCTATGTACTTCTAAGCCTTGATAAAAAAGCAAGCCAAGCATGTCACAAAACTACAGAAGTCATTGATGTGGAAGGAAAACTCCTGCAAAGCAAAATCTCAAAAGCAGAAAGAAAGGCAGGGACAGAAGCAATTAAAAAAAAAGTGCCATTAAAGCAAGGAGGCATTGTTGCAATGAAATAAGGGCTCGACAAGCCATTATCTGTCTCTGGACATCATCAGACAGACCAGAACCGCAGAAGGTGGTTGCAGGATAATGGACCCTGCAGGGAAGCTTCTTCCCACCAAGTCAATTAACAGCTGGAATCCTGCCCTGAAGTTTATGCTCCTTCCAAAAAACACAGAGTGTTCTTGGTACAGGTGATACTTTAAGGGAGAGCACAATCTGTAAAGGCTGCAGCTACATCTGCAGTGTTGCCTGAATTGCAAAATCAGAGTTTTGGAAATACGTGTAAAATCCAGAGAACACACATTGTTCGTGCAGACGGCACAGGAGTAGAGGATGCAACGTGTGGGGAGCTTTGGGAAGTATGAGCACCTCTCCTTGGAAAGGCTAACAAATGGGGTGTAAAAACCCATTTTTGGACACCTCCCAAGGAGCTCTGCTTTAAAAGAAGTTGGGGAGAAACACAATCCAAAGTTAATTATATGTTGCACTTTAACAGTGTCTTTTTTCTCCCTTAAGTCATTTACCCTGCAGTACACCGGCAGCGATTATTTTGATTTGTTGAAGGATTCTAGTCTCAGGCTTCTTTATGCCTCTCAGAAACGCTGTCTAGATAACTATCAAAAGTTATTGCCCACTGCAGTACAGATATTCCGTATTTTTAGGTTTTGCAATAAAAACAGAAAGGAGGTGAAGTCCCACACATTCCAGAGCTCTAAGCAGATGACAACAGAAATCAGCTCACTGAAGGCAAGATTCTTCCTCATTATAAGCTCAAGGTCAGGAAGAAGAGATCTGCCTGCTCTCTCCCTGGTGACACGCATGCATGCATGCCCTGGCCTCTTCCCAGTGCCAGAGTAGATCTGACTAGAAAAAGTAAAAATAGAAAAAAACAAGAGAGTTCAGTTCTCTTTAAGCAATGGCAAGAGCAGGTTTTGGTACCTACGGGGGAGCAGGGACTGATCAAAAACAATGACTGACTGGGGGAAGGGTCCGAACACAGATGGAGCAGCTTGAAAAAGCTGCAGTGTTGTCAACTACGCCCACCTCCCATTCACACCACCTCACGGCAACAGCTACAACAACAGAAAATGGCTATGATTTGCATTATGTTGAGACTAGTTGCACAGATGGCATCAGATCCAACACAGCAAGAAGCAGAGCAGGGAAAATAATGTGCTACTCCTTTGTCTTTGGAACACTTACTATTGAAGACCACATTGTTGTCCTTGAAATCTTTCCACTGCTGATACCATTTTGAGTCTTTATGCAGCACCACACCCATGGCCTCCCTAAAAAGTGCAGAAGACACGGGTATTTGTGAACAAGTAACTTGCAGTCAAGAGACATGTAGTTAAGTTTTAAACTTTTTATCAAATTATAGACAGAAATATTCACCCTAAATTACATCCAATACGTACTCATTAGCTTCAAATATTCGCTCCTCTTTAATCCTCTCGCCTGAGAATTCTGTTCTTTTTCGTAGTCGCTCCGGACGTTTGTAAGGACCAGTCTGCCCTAAAACACTTTCATCTATTTCCTTCTTAACGGTTTCTACTCCCTGAAAGGAAAATATCCCTATTAGGTTGATTTACCATTCCCCCCATCTTTGCCCAGAAACTGAAAATTGCTTCTGTTAAAGAAAAAGAAAAGAGACGAGACCATGGGTTATCGTCCTCTCCCTTACACAGCAAATGCTTCTTTGTTGATGCCTACTGACGAACACACCAGTACCAAGGCCCTCTGCTCAAGAAGTTAACAGTCTAGGACAGCAAATGGATGGTTGTACTGAACCAATCTGAAGAAAAAAAACAATACACTAGAAGCCATGGACAGAGTCAAACCTGATGGCTGATAAGGGGTAACCTCTACAGAGTTAAAATTGGAATAAATTAAGTCAGAGGAAGGCTGACTTATCAGCCCCCAACAGCAGCCAGCAGCTGCTGATAGAATGACAAGCAGGTAAAAGGAAGAATGATTCCTTGTATCCAAAAGTAGGGGGAAAAAAAGACTTTCGGACACCAACAAATAGTTGCAAAGCCACCTGGAAGGTCAACAAAATCCAGGTTCTACGTCTGAGCTTAAACAAATGGGAGTACTGCTTTCCCCAAAACAAAAAGAAGCCTCATTTTTTATAGAATTCTACACACCTTCTAGTTGACAAAAGAGTTCCCAAGCAAACAGTTTTTGGCGGAGAAGAAATGTGGAAAAAAAAAATAAATCACAGTAGTTCAGCTTATAGTAAAGGAGGAATAGAATATATTGTGTCTCCTGGGTGAAGCTACATCAAGAAAAAGAATTTCATAGATCTGGACTGGTGCACATCTCAG